CATTTTGGCTCTGTAAACACGTATTGCTTTCCTGGTCTAGCTAGTGCCACATTCTTCACATTGTTGTGTGTCTTGTTGATTTCACTGTTTCAAAGGGCTCCAAAAGTAGTGCTGAGTTGCTGTCTAGGGTTCCTAAGCATCGGAAGGCTGGGACGTGCCTTATGAAGAAAATGCATGTGTTTGACAAGTTTTGTTCAGGCATGAGTCTTGTGCTGCTGACCATGAGTTCGATGTAAATAATATTATGTAAGGTGTCCTTGAACAGAAACACACATAAAACAAGGTTACATATTGCTCATTTGCTGAAAACGTGATCATAGGCCTGCAGGAACTTAACCCTGCCTTTCCCCAGGAGCAGGAGCTCAGTGCTCACTAGCTCAGTGTTCACAGCGACTTCACAGAGCAGAACTAGCGTGTGGAATGAGAACAGACTGTACAGTTCCAGACTAGATTTCCCTCCAGAACTCCGGACTCGTATTCCAGCTGCCTCCTGGACCTTACAAACTTTAACAAACCAAAACCCAAGCCCCTGATAACTTCTGCAACTTGCTCCTCCCACAGGCATCTCAATTAAAGGCAGCTACGCCATTCCAGGTGCTCACCCCAAAAATCCTTGGAATTACTCTGGATTTCTCTTTCAATTTTCAAATCTTGGTGACACTATGTTCAAGTTATGTGTAGAATCTGACAACTTCTCACCACTTCCACTCTGCCAGCCTGCTCCTCAGAGGGATCCTGGTAAAAGTCAGATCATGTCATGCCTTACCTCAGAACCTTCTAATGGTTTCCTGCCACCCTGAGTGAAAGCAACAATTTTGACAATGACCTATAGTCCTGGTCTGCACATGCCTCGCCCATTACTTCTCTGACTTTTTCTGCCCTATTTTCCCCTCTGCTCACCCCACTCTCCTGCCCACTCTCTTTGCACCATCCTTGGAACACTCCTTCCTCCAAATAACAGCACGTCCAGCTCCTTCAGTCTGTCAAGTCTTTACCGCATCACCATCTTCTTACTAACAGCTGTCCTCATCACCATGTCTAAAACTACAACCACACACACACACACACACAAACTTGCTAATCTCTTGCCTGCTTTATTTTTCCCAGAGCACTTACCATCTAAGGTACTAATTAACATACATAACTGTTTACTTATCATGTCTCCCTCTCACTCAAATGTAAGTACCATGAGAATGGGGCCCTTTATCTGTTGGTTTTCTTTTTCCTAATGTATCCCCACTGCCTAGAACAGAAAGTAGGCACTAAATAAATAGTTCTTGAATGGTTGAATAATGTAGTACTTACCATACATTATTCAATGTACCTGTTTGCCCTCTGTCTCTCACAGTAATACTGACTGTGCACATTTTGAGGTCAGAGATACTGTCTTATTCATATTTGTATTCCTAACACCAAACCACTGTGCAGGGTGCATAACAGGAATTCAATAAATGCAGGCTGAATGAATAGAAGGGGAGAAGAGAAGAGAAAAATTGCTAATTTTCTGAACCTTGGGCTTCTGAATAAGACACAGTCTCTACTCCAGAAAAACCCACAGCATGGTGGGGAAGAGACACAAATAAATATGGACCCTGAGGTCGTGAAATCAGAGCCATGATGAGACAAGGGTCAGGAAAAGAACTAGGATGACAAAGGAGAAGATGGGTGCTGGGTAACATGTAAGCAGGGCTCTGAATAGGAGTTTGCCATGTAGCCTGCAGGGGAGGAAATAGCCCACTGCCTGAGGTACGCCCACATAGACACGAGCTTCCCACTGTGTCCCCTTCCTTGTTCTAAAAGGTCTTCCAGGAGTCTCAGTGCTGAAACAGGAAGAAACAGAATCACTCTACTCCCACAATTCTCCTCTTCCCCTCCTCACTCACAGAAAACTTGGTGTCTGATGAGAAAATTACCGGATGGCTCCACTTGCCTCCATTTAGGGCAGTAAGAACATGGGCCACGTCTAAACACTGTTCCCAGTTTCCAGCTCATCAGCATCTGACATCTAAACAGAATCAGACCAAATGATGGAAGCCACTTAGAAACCCAGAGAAACTGCCATTCCATGGGTTCTGCCAAGATGCAAAGGAGCAAAATCAATTTAGAAAGCGCTAGAGCTTTCCAACATCAGAGCCAAATATGAAGCAGCATGATGCATATGTAAATATGGACATCTTTTGTTCGAACACTGAATCGTAGCCCCAGAGCTGATGTCCCAAAAGGGGATGCTGGGCAGCCACCACAGCTTCTTCAGCTGCTTAGCTCAGAGTGGCCTGGACACCAGACTGCTGAAGAAGCAGAGCCACCCTGGCAAGGACCCTGGACACCATGACATCGTAGACCTTCTCATTTCCTAACGTCTATGGTTGGAACAGGCTTTCTCCCTCTCCATCTTCTAAGAGAAATGAGACTAAGCTTGTCCGTTGTTTTTTTTTCCTTTAATCCTCACCCACAAATATTTTTCCATTAATTTTTTCTTTTTTTAGAGAGAGAGTGGAAGGGAGGGAGGAGAGAGAGAGAAACATTGATGTGAGAGACACACTGATTGGCTGCCTCCTGCACAACCCCAAAGACCAAACCTGCAACCAAGATACATGCCCTTGACCAGGAATCAAACCCGCAACCCTTTGGTTCATAGGCCAATGCTCTAACCACTGCTGGCCAAGGTTTATCCATTTCTTATTTGCTGCTTGCCTGATGGCCTGGACTGAGCTGGAGAAATCCCACATGCACACCACACACACCCACATTTCCATCCACCGTCCCCACCCCTCAGACATACATCTACACATGTGATGCAGCCACAATTTCAAGTGTCCCACTAGGGCCCAACCTATTGCTGCATCCATCACTTTATTCTCCTAGAACAGAGACGGCTTGCTATGCCACTATCTTCATCAAGGCCTGTGCTGGCCTTTCAAACAGAATCAGAACAATCTGTTCTCTGCCTGATGCACACACACAACCAGGGACACAATCCCACCTGCCACAGTCTAGAGCTAAGCAGCACTGAGCACACCTTCAAGTCCCCTGCCACATTTCCACCACCTCTACCTCTTCCTCTAAACCTCCTTGCCTCTCAGGTTATTCCCTCAGCCTGATATTTTCTCCTCTCCTGTGAATTCCTTTAGAAATGTGACAGCTGTGCCCTGACAGGTTTGGCTCAGCAGTTAGAGCATCAAGCAGCAGATTGAAGAGTTTCGATTCAATTCCCTGTCAAGGGCACAAATCTCAGTTGTAGGTTTGATCCTGGCCTCGGCTGGGGTCATGCAGGAGACAACCAAACGATGTCTTTCTCATACAGATGTTTCTCTTTCTCTCTCTCTCTCCCTCTTTCCCTCCCATTCTATCTATAAATCAATGGAAAAATATCCTCAGGTGAGGATTAAAAAACAAAAAAAATGCAACAGCTGTGACATAAGAGCATTATCATGCAAACACCTGTAGGGCTGTGCTGTGGTTTCCCACTGTGCTTTGGGCCCTCAGGCCCACGTGAGGCCTGCTTTCCTCGGCCTTCCAGGAAAGGCAGTGTGGTCTACGATCGACCACAGGAACGATGCTGGTCGTATAACATTCCCTTCCTCTCCTCTGGGCAGGCATTCTGTTCTCATTAAGAAAGGCAGCATTGCCCCAGCCGGTTTTGCTCAGTGGTTAGAGCATCAGCCTGTGGACCAAAGAGTCGCAGGTTCGAGTCCAGTCAAGGACATGGGCCTCAGTTATGGTTCTGTCTCTGGCCCTGGTCTTGGTAGTGCAAGAGGCAACCAATCGACGTGTCTCTCTCATATTGATGTTTCTCTCTCTCTTTCTCTCTCCCCCTCCCTCCCTCCTTCTCTCCTACTCTATCTGAAGATAAATGGAAAAATATTCTCAGGTGAGGATTAAAAAAAAGAAAGACCAGCATGGTTTACATGATGAAAATTCAGCCTTAATGTCCATTCTCTAAGTCTTTTCCAACCTCAATTTTAACCCTATTCTCAGACATTCTAGCCGGTGCCCTCTCCCTGTTTTTCCCCCCACTCAGGGTTTTGTACAAGCTGATGCCTTACCTTGAATGTTATGTTCCCTAAATTCCCACGGCTGGCTGCCCAAGTCTCCTCCCTGTCCCCTTAGCCCAGTCCCAATCCCTCTGTGTCCTTATTACTCTATCACATGCTCCCGTTTTATTTTTGTATTTGTAGCCCTTATCATGATCTGAAACAACCCTATTCATGTATCTGTTTCTCTGTTTAGTCTCTGTTGCTCCCAATTAAACTGTAAGCTCCATAATGGGAGGGACCCCATCTGTCTTATTCACTGCCATCTCCTCAGGGCCTAGAACGGCATCTGGTACATAGCAGGCACTTTAATATACATTTGCTGGATGCATGAATATATTCGTGCAATGAAAGTCTCACAAAGAGTTCCCATGGCCTTTCTCCAGGTCTAGGAGGACAGAAAGTGCATCTCAGGATCCATGTGCTCAGATCTGTCAGCCGCCTTCTCAGCAGTCTCTATGTTTAGTACGAAAAATCTGGGCTTCTGATTTTAAGGAAAACTTTCATTCTTGGCTTCTCTAGTACAGATCAAGACTGGCTAATTCAAGAGAGTGACTTCATTGAGGTTTGAACCAGAGTCCTCCTATCAACATTTTCTTTCTAGTAGTTTCTAACTCAACATTTTAAATGTTTTATTTGTGTCTGTACCTTATCGTTATCCCAGGGTCCCACTGTAAAGCATTTCAAAACATGTATAGATGCAACGTTTCTGGTATCAGAACCTGGGATTTCACCTAATCTACTCCTGGCCTCCAGTCAGGCCCACACCGAAATCAAACCAGATTTCTGTCCAACTCTTGATAGGTGTCAAGGGGAGGCACTTCCCTCCTAATTCGTTCCAGAGTCTCTCACTCTCTTTACTTTCCTCTCAAGGGAAATGAAGGCAGCTGTGATCATGTGCCAGCCTCAAATTCTTAAGAGGACCAATGAAGGTGACATGCAGGGACACACACACACTGTCCTCACCAACGTAGCCAGGGGTCCCACAGGCCGTGGACATCACATCTCCTTTGCCCTCCATTTTTGACAATCCAAAGTCACTGATCATTATTTTGGACTCTTCATCTTGACTGTAGTACAACAGATTTTCAGGCTAAAAAGAAAATAAGGGGAAAAAAATTACAAATTGTGTTCAGAGCTGGTTAACTGTGGCAGACACACCAAACCACAAAATCTATTCACTATTTAAGAATGTACCTGACCTTTACACATAGTAAATGCATTAAGAAAAGGAGTCTTTAATGAAGCACTATAGAGGGAGGGCCCTGCATAGCAGAGGGCACTTATTGGTTTTCAATAAATGTTACTCCCTGTCCCATTATTAGTAGCTTCCCTACTTAAAAAAATGAACCATATTTTGAGGCAGTCCAGGGTAAACAATAATGTAAATGAAGCCACTTTGAAATGGAGCCCGAGCTGCCATGCCAGAGGACCTGCCTTGAAGGTCTTATGTCTTAAAACTTGGAATGTCACAAACAGGGCCAAAATAACCGTTGGACTGGACCTAGGGAAACGTTTCCCCAGAAAAACTGTTTGCAAAGATAACAAGAAAGCAGTTATTATGATAGCTGGACTGAAAATTAAAAACATTATTTAGAATTAACATCACTGTGTTACGTTACCTGCACCAACAGAAACACATTCCGTCTATTGATATAGCTGTTCCCCTTGCCTTTCTCATAAACACCCCTAGCCTTTGTCTCCTAATCAGAACACTATCTGGACTTCTGCCTGAATTAATGATACCCAAATAATTCTTGTTAGTCTCAAATAAACATTTGTTGCCTCTCACTTTGAAAGGCCTTTTTATTTTTAGATTAGCACTAGAAAGCTGATGCTTCTCATACTTGTTGATTCGTTTCCTAGGTCAGGAGAAAGGGGAGAATTAGAAATAAAATTACTTTTGCTTTTAATCAGACCCTTGTTAGCAACCTTTCTCTAACCCAAGGGTCCCTCCCGTGCCCTCAGTAACACCCATCCTGCAGTTCTGGCAGAGGCCCTCACTCTCCCCTTTCCCTGAGCCAGCTGACACTGCCTTTTCAGATCCCTGAGAGATGTCATCAGGGAATGAATGGGGGCTGGCTGATCCAGCACTTTCCAGCCACGTGTCCTTAAGTACCCTGAGCTTCTGTTTGCTTCGCTGTAAAATAGGAGTTGCCTCCATGAACAGAATGTGGCAGACTCAGGCAGCTATAAATCACCTCACCCAGCCACAGTCAAAGCACAGCTCCTGTCCCCAGGAGGGCTCTGCTCTTCAGTGGCCCCCTGTCTAGTGCCTAGGGTGAGCAAAGGGGCCTCAGTCCTGGGGTTGAGGGGGAGACAATGAAGCCTCATTTGCATAGCACTTGCTTTTTTTTAAATCTTCACCCAAGGATATTTTTCTATTGATTTTTAGATAGAGTGGGAAGAGGAAGAGAGAGATAGAAACATCTATGTGAGACAGACACATCAGACACATCGACTAGTTGCCTCCCACATGACCTGACTGGGGCCACGGATTAAACCTGCAACCCAGGTACCTACCACCCTTGACCAGAAATCAAACCCACAACTCTTCGGTCCACAGGCCAATACTCTAACCGCTGAGCCAAACTGGCCAGGGACATTTTATGTGAAAATGGGAAATCTCAGGGTTCCTGGCAAAGAATGGGGGCAGGACTTACGGAAACTGAGGGTGTCAGCCTCAAATTTCTCCCGCAACTGCCAGGTTGAGAACCTGAACCCAGGGCACTCATATCTTTTTTTTTTTCTTTTGGTCTATTTTTGAGGAGTTGCTCAATAAATGATGTTGTCACTGAAAAACAATGTCAAGAACTGACACCTCTGCTGTCATCCAGTTACGTCCCCCGACCCAGAAGACTCTGAAGATGTACCCAGTGAAAAGTAATTATGTCCCTCATTTGTACCAAACCTTAAGGGAACGAAACAGGAAGAGTCTGCACTGAGGAACCCACCTGCCCCACCATCTCAGGTTGGCCCTCCTCCCGAACCCAAAAGTGAGGTAATACTCTCTCTGGTCAGTGCTTTGCGGTGAATCTTTGGTTCCTACGTATTACATTTCAAGAACTATTCTTTTGTAGAGTGACCTGACTTATTTAGAAAAGTGGTTCTCAGCCTAGTTGCAAAGCAGAATCAGCTGTGAGGGTTCTAAATGGCTGGAGATACCGTTCTTCAGTGGGTGTGAGGTTGGCCCAGGACTCTGGAGTTTAGAACTCCATGGCAGGGGTGGGATCCTAAGGTGCAACCGCTGCTACAGAAAAATTCTGAGAACTGACCAAGACTCTTTTCTCGGCCAAACCTTAGTCAGGCTCCTCTGAGCCCTCTTCTTGACCAGACTTCAGCCTTGGCCTTCTGTGTCTCTCCTGTCCTTGCTGGGCCTGCACAGCCCAGTCTTTGCAGGAATCCTGCTAAGTCGGTTTAGAGAGAACCTCTCACTCTTGATATCTGGTCAAGTTCTTCATCCCCCACCTTTAATGTTGTCAAAAAAATTATTCAGACACTTGTTAAAGATGGTTAGGAAGACTTTGTTCAGGGGGAATACTGAAATGGGATTTGTAGTAGGGGCAAGAGACTGGCCTAAACTCTGAATACACTCTGAATACAATAAGGACAAGAATAGTTTTATAGCCAAGGGACAGGGTAGGGTGTCATGGAAGGAAAATGACTAGGAGGGAACATCAAGAATAAGGGCTACACTGACGTGACAGGAGCTCTGCTGGAGGCGGGCCAGGTGGCCGAACATGGATGGTGAGGGACAAGGTATCTGATCAGATATCAAGGGTGGGGATTTCTACTAAATCACCAGGATTCTTACTAAGACTGAACAAATGGACTCAGGATAGGCCCAAGGTTAAGGCCTAGTCAGAAGGAAGGCTCAGGGGTATCTAACTCAAGTTTGGTCAAAGTCTCCTTTGTTTGTCAGTGTGTAAGTGTTAGCCTGCCTTTAGCAAGAATCCCCCTACCCTTGATGTCTCCTCTCAGTAACTTTCCATCCGTGACCCCTAACTCTGCTTAATGGCTTTAAGTATTCCTGCCTTGCTGAATTCAGAGTTTAGTTGGACTCTCTTTCCTATTGCAATACTGTAATACCCTCTTGTAGCAGTCTTAAATGAAGTCTTCCTTACCATTTAACAAGGGTCTGAATAATTTTTTTCTTTAGCAGGACCCATTTTTTTTCCCTCTATCCTTTACCCAAATTAACAACAAAAAGAAATGGCATTGGACAGTCCCTGTGACATTAATTTTGTGGACAAAGTATGAGATCAGAAGAAAAGCAATGTATGCCTGTGATGAGTTTTAAAAGAGAATAAAATGGGCCAATCACTAGTTGAAATAAGAATAATGCTAGAAAGCAGGGGGAATGATCTAATCAAAAGTGCATGTGGTTCTCTCCGAATGTTTAGGGGTTACCCTTCGATGAACAGTGAGCATCCATCAAGGGTGCAGAGAAAAGAGTTCAGTTTTTAATTCCTGAGCTAGAGTATTCCTTATCCCTGCACTTCTGCAACTGTTAAGTCAGTGAGCTCCTGCTCCTGAACAAGGCTTCATCCAGGTGGGAGACTGCCAAAGGGCCCAAATCCCTTCTTAAACATTCCTCCTACAGAAGATTTATTTGGGTCAATAAAGTGCTCTTTTGGAGGACAATTATCCCTAAGGAGGATTCAATGGACTGATCATTTACTGTTAAGATCAATACCTTAATTGGCTCAAGACTAGTAAAGACAGCAGGGCTTTTGTTGGGGGAAGAGGGACAGGGAAGAAAGTGGGAGCAAGGACAGGCTCAGGGACAATCTGGAGGGAGGCCCCGTGGCCGGAGGAGGGAGGTGGGAGGGAGAGAGGGAGTGGGGATGGGGAGATCTCACAATTCTTCCTGCGGTCCCAGGAGGCTCAGGACTCACCTGAAAAATTAAGTTTACTGTGTTTTATGGCATCTTTGCAAGACAGTCATGGCCAACATGAGTTGGAAGGTCAAGACCAACCCTTTAATATTTACATGACAAGTTTTTAAAGATATGAATCATCATTTCCTATAAAGTTAATGTTACACATAATCAATTATCCCCCTAATCTCATGATTCTCAACTGGAGCGACATTGTGCCCCCGAGGGGACAGTTAGTTGGCAATGCTTAGAGGCATTTTTGGTTGTCACAACTCCAGGAGTGGTACTGGCATCTGGTGGGTAGAGGTTGAGAGTGCTGCTAAACATCCTACAATGCACAGGACAGCCTCCACCACAAAGAATAATCCAGGTCCATGTGTCACATGTGCAGTGCTGAGAAACCCTCCCTAATCTTAGGAGTCAGTATGGGCATTTCCTGTCTCAGTAGTTTGTTTTGATTGTATCTAGTAGTGTCCTGGGGCAAGAAAACACAAGAATACCTTTCTGGAGGAAGAAGGAAATATATTCAAATGTGGGGGTGGGGCCATATGCCAGATTGTGCCTTAGTTTTTTTGTTTTGGTTTTAAATCCTCACCACAGATTTCTAAATTGATTTCAGAAAGGTAGGGAGGGAGGGGGGGGGAGGAGAGAGGGAGAGAGAAACACTGATTGGTTGCCTCCTAGATGGGCTCCGACTGGGGGATTGAACCTGCAGTCTAGGTTATGTGCCCTGACCTTTCTGGCATATGGGATGATCCTCCAACCGAGTCAACTGTCCAGGGCTGTGCTTTACTTTTATTTTTAATTTTTTTATTTTTAAATCCTCATCTGAGGATATTTTTCCATTTATTTTCAACAGTGTGGGGGGGTGGGGGGAGAGAGAGAGAGAAACACACACTGATTTGTTGCCTCCCGCATAACCCCGACCAGGGCCGAGGACTGAACCACAACCAAGGTACGTGCCCCTGACAGGATTTAAACCCGCAACTCTTTGGTCCACAGGCCGACACTAACCACTAAGCCAAACCAGCCAGGGCCTACTGTGCTTTACTTTTTTTTTAATCCTTACCCGAGGACATTTTTGCATTTGTCTTCAGATAGAGTGGGAGGGAGAGAAGGAAGAAGAGAGAGAAACACTGATGACTGTTTGCCACCCATAGGACCCCAACCAGGGCCGAGGACAAACTGCAACCAAGGCACGTGCCCTTAGCAGGAACCAAACCCGGGTCCCTCTGGTATGCGGGCCGATGCTCTAACCGCTGAGCCAAACCGGCTGGGCATACTGTGCTTTACTTTTAAATTAACCTGATCATTTTCCCCATTTCTCTGGCCTAGATAATATAGTTTGTTTTAATTTTCTCAGATGTTTATGAAAATTCAACATCAACTTCCTCCACATACATCAAACTCCTTTGTGCCACTGAAAAGAGATCATAAAAAGGTCTTTTCAAAAATGGCAATGTTCTTTCCACAATTATAAGCCTGGTGGGTGATCTTAAAGCTCCATAGGCTGGAAGCTGCAAGTATTTCACCAAAAGTGTTACATGGGAGTGAAAAGTAATTACCTTCCATGCAGCCAATATGCCTTTCTATATAACCTACCTCTTGGTGGCCATTTGACAGCATAATGATTATAAAAGCTCCCAGACAATGGTCAGCCCCATTGATCTTCATTTTCTTTCAAGCTACTTCTTAGTCACAAAGGCCCAGACTACTAACAATACAGAAACGCCCACCATTCATTCCACCCATATCTACATCAAGGCAACCCCATCTCTCCTCTGGTGCCAATCCTCCTGGTTGGTGTATTATGGGTTGGAGAGTAGCTGGAGGATGTTGCTAAATGATGGCCTCACCTTGAGGTCCCTGTGGACAATGCCCATTCTATGGAGATAGTAGACAGCATCCAACACCTGGCGGATCAAAGTGCTGGCATCTTTCTCCGTGTAAAATCCCTTCTCCACTATCCGATCAAACAATTCTCCACCGGATACCCTGTTAAAAAAAGAACAAATGAGAAGTTTGAGAGGATCTGTTGAAGTGTTCAGAGAAAACCATCAATAACAATTTTCAATATGATAAAAGACTCAAAATTTCAAAAATGAATTCATTTTCAAACTTAAATTTTGCCCAACCTATTCCCCAGAAGCTCTACCAAGGAAGTGTTTCTGTGTTATGGTTTATGTTCAGAATGAAATAAAGAGAATAAAAATAAGCCAGATTCATAGACCAGCCAGACTTGACAGGTTTCTCCTGGCTTTTGCCTCCTTGCTGCTGTGACAATGTGAAATCTGAATAAACTTCAGAAATGTCAGCACCATCAGATATAGGAAAATGATGCTGGCTAAGATGTCTTCTTTGCACAGAGAGTATCCTTCAAAGGCCCAGGTTGTGGGTAGGGGGTGCTGGGGCAAAGCATTGAGCAGCCAATAGGATATCTGGGGTTTTGACTGAGTTATGCTCCTAATATGCTGTGTGCATGCGCATTCCTTGAGTTTTTAAACCTCAGTCTTTTTATATGTAAAATGAGAGGGTTAATCTAGTCAACTATTTCCAACAGAGGTTGGGGGATACTCTTGGAGGCCATCAGATCCCAAAAGCTACATGTAATTTACCAAAAAAGTAAAGAAAATCATATTCTATTACATTGCCTTGTTTTGTTTTTTAGTGACAATATTAAATTTTAATTTGCTTTAAATTTCAGTTTGCATTAAATTTATTTTTTCATATTTATCAAAAAGGGGCCGAGACAAAGAAAGGCCTTTTTGAAAAAGGTGAGAAAGCCTGGTGAACAACTTCTATAGACCATTTCATTTTGATATTTGGTGCTACTCTGAGTTTAACAAAGTAATAAAATGTACAATTCAGAGTCTAAACAATTCAACTAACACCATAGCCTTCCAACTCTTAGAATATATACTTCTCTAAGAAAACAGTGCTTCTTTCAAATAATTAAGCCATCTTGGGAATTAGCTTCAAAGGATATATTAACACTATTTTTTTCTATAAAAAAAAATAAACACATTTTCCAAAAATAAAATAAAAAAGACAGTTTCATAAACAACTTTTATAGCTTTAACAGAGTAAAGCATGCCCTGGCTGTACCACACACACATTCACAAAAATGCTCAAGACTGATTCATTTTCTGCAAGTCATGACAATTAATGTGCAATAATTAAACCACCAATACCTTATTTAAAAAAAAAAAAAAAACTAATAAAGAAAACACAATTGCAGCTATAAAAGGACTATGTGTTACCTACGGTCATTCCAAACGATATTGCACTTGGATAATGTCTTGTTTCCAAAGCAAACTGAGCAATATAGATAAGAAAGAAAGATGCTCAGGAGAAATCAAAAGCAATTCAAAGAGTGAAAAGAAATTGAAAACAACCAGGAAAAGACTACATTTTGATGACCAAGTTGTCTAAATGATCCCACCTTAGATAAATCAAAATTTCCAAACATCCGCTCTTAGCAACTGATACCAAGTCCTCACCAATCTTCATTTTTCTAGAACCTTCTTTCAATGAGTTACAATGTCTGAAACTTGGCAGAGTTTGAGGAAGTAGGACAGGAGATGTACTGCTGCCAGGGGCAGGGTGACTGGATACATTCACTTGACTCAATCATTTATTTGACCATTCATTCAACATTTACTGTATGCCAGCTAATGTGCATGGTTGGTACCAATCAAGGCACATTAGCTATAAAGGAAGAAAGTCTGTTTTGACTGTGCCCCTCCTCATCCTCTAACATCAGCCCACCCTCCAACAATGGCATGGCATATTAGTGTTCCAGTGCTTTCTTACCACTAGTCTGCCTGCTACTCACATCCACTGCTCTGAAGACTGATGGAGGACGTCGGGGAAGATTGCTCACCCTTCCCCCATCCCCACCCTCAGTACTGCATGACCTACAATGCCAGTCCTCTCCCTCCCTCAAAACTGATCTTTTCTGCTTCCTATTCTCTCAAAGTTCCCTTTTCTGCTATGTGACATATAAAGTCTTAACAGATTCTATTGAACCATAACATCTGCACTACAACAGGACAGCAATGCAGTAAGAACTGAAGTTTCAGAGCTGAAGTGTAAGATACTGCTGTAGTATGTATTGTCACAGAGCCCCAATTCTTTGCACATTTGGTATTTCCCTTGTTAAATCTCAAATTCCACCAGGTCTTTATTTTTCTGAACATTGCTCAGAAAGAATTTGGTTTCCTTAGAAACCAAGGCACAGGAGAAATGTTTAAAAACTTGCCAATAAAAAAATGTAACAAGTACTAATAAAAATACCTTAAATTTGCAAATCACTTTATGTTTTTCAAAAATCTCCTTAAGCATACATTTCAAAGGCCTGAATGTTTACACCCCCCACCCCCAATTAATGTGTTAAAGCCCTAACTCCTAAAATGATGGTATTTGGAGGTGGGGTTCTTTGGAAGGTGATTAGGTTTAGATGAAGTCATTCAGGTGGGTCCCAGGATGGGATTAGTGACCTTATAAGAAGAGGAAAAGAGACCAGTCCTCTCTCTCTACTATGTGAGGACACAGTGAAAGGGTGGCTGATTGAAAGCCAGGAAGAAAGCCTTTAACAGAGACCTGTGCGACCCAGAAAGGACTGTGCAATCCAGTTACCCACGGGACCTGCGGGGTGCTGAAGCACCAGAGAGGCCTGTGTGACCCAGCAGAGACTGTGCAATCCAGTTAACCTTGGGACTTGCAGGGAGTGGGGGCACCAGAGTAGCCTGTGCAACCCAGCTGCACATGAGATAGGCATAGAGGATCTGAAGATGGAGGTGGAGTGAATGGAAGCTACACAGACGATTTGCGAGGACCAAACGAGAATTACAATTAAAATAAAGACAAATCCTCAGAAAAAAGCAACAAAAAAGCAGCAGGACAGGACCATATAACCAGGGACACTGGTAGGATCTGCAGAGGTGCAAGAAGGTGATGGGCTGGAGCCCACGGACAGCAGCAATCTTAGCTGTGAGCAGTGCCCTTGGGGAATAAAGACCAAGTCCGCTCCACAGTGCAGAGAGCTGGGACAGAGCATTAAAATAGCCACAGGCACTCACCTGGGGTATAAGGTAGAGGGAGGGCAGACTGGGCTGGAGCTCTGTGGGGACACCCGGGATTTGGAGGGCACTCAGAGTTTTTGCTGAGTTGCTGACACAAAGGATGGTGGCCAGTGTGCTCCTTCCCAGAGCTATGGAGAAAAGTAGCAGCCCCACCCCCACCCCACCCAGATTCAGCCTTTCCCAGGTGAGACAAAGAAATGCAAATTGAGACTGACTAACAACCAGCATCTATCCCACCCTCTGGAAATCCTCTTAGGGCCAGAAAACCAGGGCTACATTCCAAGGCACTGAGTAACTGAAACTACTAGCCACCAGGAAAAAGCTAGAGGATAACTGAACCTTTCCTGGGCTTGCAAATCTACCCAGGAAAGTTAGACTTGACAGTGGTGTTTAACATGGGCCCACCCAGGCTCATCAAAACCCAGGAGAGGGACCTGGCCGGTTTGGCTCAGTGGTTAGAGCGTCGGCCTGCGGTCCGGAGAGACCCGGGTTCGGTTCCCGCTAAGGGCATGTACCTCGGTTGCAGTTTGTCCCCAGCCCTGGTTGGTCATGCGGGTGGCAGCCACTCAATGTGTCCCTTTCACATCGATGTTTCTCTCTCTCTCCCTCCTGCTCTATCTGAACAAAGAATGAAAAAGTGTCCTCGGGTGAGGATAAAAAAAAAAAAAAAAAAAAAAACCCAGGAGAGGAAGCCACAAACAGCAGAACACCAGCACCCACAGGAAAAATTTGGCAGGCTCCAAACTCAATGAGATGGCCAAAATGGTGAAACAAAGAAACAAATCCCAAATGAAAGAACAAGAGAACTCTATTGAAGATGAGATCAATGAAATGCAGTTAAGCAAATTATCAGAGGTAGAGCTCAGAGTCATGATCTTGAGGAAGCTCAACAGCATGAGTAAGGACATCAGCACCATGAGTCAAGATATACAAACACTGAAAACCAACCAAGTGGAAATGAAGAATGACATAGGAGAAATTAAGACATTGGAAGGACTAACCAGCAGAGTAGAGGAAGCTGAGGATCTGATCAGTGAATTAGAAGACAGGGTAGAAAAAAATCAACCAATCAGAAAACCAAAAGGAAAAAAACAATTAAAAAACAGGAAGACAGCTTAAGAGAACTGTGGGACAACTGGAAACGTAATAACATTCGCATCATAGGAGTCCCCAAAGAGGAATAAAATGGGCAAGGGTTAGAGAATATATTTGAAGAAATAGTGACAGAAAACTTTCCTAACTTGGTGAAGGAAGAACGCATTCAAGTTCAAGAAGCACAGAGAGCCCCAAATAAGAAGAACCCAAAAAGGCCCACACCAAGACACATAGTAATTAAAATGTCAAAAATTAAAGACAAAGAGAATCCTAAAGGCAGCAAGAGTTAAGCAAGAGGTTACCTACAAAGGAAACCCCATAAGGTTCTCAGCTGACTTCTCAACAGAAACACTACAGGCCAGAAGGGGTGTCATGAAGTAATCAAGGTCATGAAAAACAAGGATCTGAATCCAAGACTACTTTACCCAGCAAGGCTAACATTCAAAATGGAAGGTCAAATAAAGAGCTTCCCAGACAAAAAAAAAAGGCAAAGGGAATATATTAACACCAAACCAGCACTGTAAGATATGCTAAAAAAAAAAAAGAAACTGCTGTAATTAATAGAAGAAATAGGAAGAAAAATAGAACGACACTAAACAAAAATGGCAATAAATAAGTACGTATCAATTATCATCTTAAACGTGAATGGTTTGAATGCTCCGATAAAAAGACACAGAGTAGCTGACTGGATAAGAAAGCATGACTCACATATATGTTGTTACAAGAAACCCACCTCACAACAAAAGACTCACATAGGTTGAAAGTGAAGGGATGGAAAAAAAATCTTTCAAGTAAACGGAAAACAAAAAAAAGATG